TAGATGCAGCCATTATGTATGTGTTTTAAATGACTGGCAGTGTAAGAGTAATGTTAGCCATGATGGTCCAGAAATTATGAGTGGCAAGGATTTCTTAGGGTGATGTTTTATTGGACCAACTGGATAGTTGGGATAGAGTCGGACAAGCTCTCAAATGAATATTTTACATTCAACAGCTTGTCTAACTCTATCCCAGCTATACAGTTAGTTCAGTAAAAGAAATCACCCTAATGTATCCTTGCCTCTCGCATCTTTTAAAAAATGTTTGCCATAATAACATGCAGGTAAGTGAATTTGAAGGCTGAATCACATCAAGGAGTTTTGAAGTCATAGAGCTCTAGTGTATAATAATGAAAGTGCTGTTCTGGTTGGAGTCTTCATGTGCATGTGTGTTTTATATCTTGTTTTAACATGAGAAACAGAATATTAAAATGTTAATTTTAATTTTCTCTGTCCTCACATTTGTTCCGTTTTGCCATTTTCGCTCACTTAAAGAGGCACAGAAAACAGAGGTTCATAGATTAATAGACTGTTAGGGGCTGGAAGGGACCTCGTAGATCATTGGGTCCAGCCCCCCTGCTTTAGGCAGGAAGACAACTGGGGTTAGGTGACCCCAGTGAGGTGACTGTCCAGCCTTCTCTTGAAACCTCCAGGGTAGGTGACTGCACCACCTCTGGAGGGAGTTTATTCCACAGTCCACCCTGACTGTGAAGTAGTTTTTCCTGGTATTAAGCCTGAAGCGGCCTTCCAGGAATTTGTATCCAGTGGTCCTGGTCTTCCCCAGGGGTGCGCTAGTGAACAGTTGTTCACCGAGCTCCTGATGCACTCCTCTGATATCAAGGTAAGCCGCTATCAAGTACCCTCTCAACCTTCTCTTCTTCAGGCTAATGAGGCCCAGGTCCCTCAGCCTTTCCTCATATGGCTTGCCTTGCAAGTCCCTGATCATATGGGTGGCTCTTTTCTGGACCCTCTCAAGTTTTTCCATATTCTTATTGAAGTGCGGCACCCAGAACTGGATGCAGCACTCCAATTGCGGTCTCACCAGTGCTGAGTACAGCAGGAGTATTACTTCCTTAGTTTTACATGAGAGGCATCAGTTGATGCATGCTAGCGTGTTGTTTGCCCTGCTGACTATCGCCTTGCACTATGGCTCATATTCATACGATGGTCGATTATTACCCCTAGGTCCCTTTTAGCCGTGGTGCAAGTCAAGCTGTCACTAC